TTCCTTCCTTCCTTCCTTCCTTCCTTCCTTCCTTCCTTCCTTCCTTCCTTCCTTCCTTCCTCTTCCTCCTTCCCCTGCCCCGTACCTCTATTTTCAATTTTGAAACAGAGTTTCTCCAAGTTGCCCAGGCAGGCCTTGACCTTGGGGTCTTCCTGCCTTAGCCTCCCAAGCAGCTAGAGTCACAGTGTGGGCTACCACACCTTACGTGAAGTTATGTGTGTACGTCTGCTAAAGGCTTTGTTTCTGTAACCAAAATGCAGAATTGGTTGCATTTCAGTTTCTGAGTTCTTTCATATAAGTGAGATAGTTTGGGTAGCTCTAATTAACTCTTTAAAGACAACAAAATAGAGTGGGGAAGTAAAATTCTTCAAAATTCTTCAAAATTTCAGCAATAAAACTGACATTGTGAGCAAAGATAGATTTCACTGGAGAGGAGAACCCATAAGGAATGCATGGAATGCTGAAAACTATACAAACAAGTGAAAACTATTTTTTAATAACACGGGGGGGGGGGGGGAGGAAGCAGCGAATAACATACCTTTTTTTTTTTTTGTAAGTGGAAAGATGCATACAAATAGCAATGGTATTTACATCTTTACAATGGAAACATATTGTCCCCACTTCAAGAGTAAGCAGAAGATTGCAGACTCTCAGGGTTTCTGATTGAACACTATTACAGTTGTAGGAAAAGGGAGGCAGGTCTGGGCATTCACATCTGTATCCCTAGCACATGGGAGGCTAAGGTTTGTTGAGAATTCAAAACAAGAACAAGCTAGAGAGTTAGACCAAGCCTTGTTAAACAGAATGAAAAAAAAAAAAAGCAGACAAGGGGCATATCTATAATTTCAGCTACTCAAAAGACCAAGACAGGAGGATCATTGAAATTCAGAAGTTAGAGCTTAACTCGAAAATAAAAGAGAGGGAGGAGATTGATTCTCTAACCACAAGAGTTACTCATTTTTGTTTTGTGTTTGTCAAGGCGTTATGAATATTCTTTTCATAATGACTCTGAGATGAGGGTCTCCTGGGTGGGAAGTGATGCCTGATACTCAGAAGACAAGGGGAGCCAGAGGTCGACCAAAGAGAACCATCCATTCTCTGTGCTTCCTCTGTGCCAAACTGGGCTATTGACTCTTTATGAACACTCTTAATAAACCCTCAAGAGCGCATGGAGATCTGCAGAATTTAATGTTGTAGAATTCAGAAATGGCTCCCACCTAGCGAGTGACAGCAGCAGGAATTTATCCATGTTGTCTGATACTACACTATGCCATCCTTTTCTACCATTCTTCTTTCCAAGGATGCCACATGAGGGCATTTGCATACACCTCTGTCTTATAAAGGCAACTGTTATCTGAACTCACTGGGATGTGTAATTAGAAAGCAACAGCATCTTCTGTCTTAAAAGAAACATTCCTTACTTTTTGACTAATGAGAGCTGGAGCATCATTCAAGGACAAGGCCCAGTTGGCGAAGTCAGTCGCATCAACGGTCTTGGCTTCTCTCGCAAGCTTTTCTTTCAAGAGAACTGCATGTTTACTGCTCCCTCCTCTTATGAATGAAATAACATCATCTATGATGTTATCGCGGGTGATGTTTACTGGAAAAAGCAAAGAAGACTTGAAGAAAGAAGCATTTGCAACTCTGTGGTCAGGTATTTGAGTGGCATTCGATAAATATGTATTAATATCTTTTTAGGATAGCTTAGTGTATTTGTTGAGCTTTAATTGTAAATGTTGCTCACATAAGTCTCCCCACCATAATATGTGAGGGCAAATATTTCTCAACAGTCAATTATAAATTTTTATTATATTTATTTTGAAAATTAATGGTGCAGGACAGATTGATATCTCATATAAATAAAAAGTATATATAAGAAAATTAACATGACTTTGAATGTATTATATGCATTTTGAAAACTTACCTTCATGATTACATTGTATATAATTGAAAGGGTTAGACTAACTTTGTAACCTGTATGTCTTCTAAAGCCTATAGCTTTGAGTTTTAGGTTCAGGTTAAGCTAAAGCCTTTCCAGAGAATGGAGGAATGTGACCCTATCTATGAGGACAGATATAAAAAAAGGCAAGCAAGCAATGACCTTTACTCAGCAAAAAAAGGACCAGACCCTTGTCTTTGAGATAGCATTTCTTAGCAACGAACCCAGACTTCTTCTGAGTAGCTTTTGACCTGCAGCCAAAAGTCCGCAGCCCCTAATCTTCAAGGATGAGCTAACCACCCCCACCTTCAATTGCAGCTGCATCCACACTTGGCAGGACTGGCCAAGCTTGAGCACCTAAGACTAACCAATTATCTTACTTTATAGCTTCCTCATCCAATCCTAAATTGCCAAGACTGCAACTTCAAATCTCCTGCAATTTTTCTTTTAAAAACCTAAAGGCCTTTGTCTCTGGGTGCCACTCTTTGCTGACCAGCAGGGGTGACCCCATTGCACAATGGTTAATAAACCTCTTGCTTTTGCAACGAGTCTTGGTCTGGGGGAGTATCTGGGAAGGGCGCGATCTTAAACTCCTGAGCTGTGAGACCCCAGGTCTTACATAATGAGCTTTAAATTATCTTGCTATTATAGAAATATTAGTACCTAAAAAGAATGATATAAAAAGGAAACTTGTTTCCATTCCCAAATCTTATTCCCTTTCTCTGTGTCTCTTTAAATGGAACGACTTTAAACAGTTCTAAAGTTTTAGAGTCATGAAGTTTTAGAACTGAAAAGGAATGAAGAGGTGTTTTTGTTTATCCTTCGTCATTTGTACAAATGAGAAATCTGAAGTGATGTAGAGGAGTGAGTAGCCTACGGTCATGTAATTAACTCCTGGAGTAGTGGTGGCTCCAGGGCTCTGTTCCTTTGTTAGTCAAAACCACATCCGCAGGTCCATGTGCTTCAAACAATGTCCATTGTCCCCTCTACAGCGCCTTCACTGTCAGCTGGCTCTTTAGAGATGAATCAGAGGCATTTTAAAAATTTTAAATAAAAGTTTAATAAAAAAATACAAACAATTTCATGTATTTCTAATTTGAGAAAGAAGTGAAGTCTCCAGCAGACATTCGTCCCTGTGAATTTGCAGAACATTAACAGAGCATGATGCCTGTACCGAGGACATCTAGAGGTCCAAAAAGGCGTTGCAGCGGTTGGGTGCTAAGGGAAGATTACCTAAGGAAATCAACTGGAGGGGAGAGTCGGGAGGATGCTTTAGGTCTTGTTCTTTGTACTGGACACAAGATCCTATATAATTAGCCTGTTTCAAACCTTGGAAAATTAAGGAGAGAAAGAAACTGGTCCTCAAGAAACTTTCCCACCCGTGACTGGTTTTCTACCACCACCATAAAACATACACAAATACATGTGATATGAGTAGCAGCCCCTTGAGCCGTGAGCCTCCTTGCACAGCAGTGACACCGACTGGTGTGTCTGTGGGCTGCCTGTCCTCATAGTGACTGAAGAAAAACAAAGTAGTTCCTAAGAAATGATTTTTGACATTTCTAAATGAAGGTGGTAAAGAGTGCTGATCGCAAGAGGCAATACCCTTAGCTATGGGCTGTTGGCGCTGCCTTCCTCAGTCTAACTAATCAGCCCATACTTACCAGTTTTACCACCAGTTGTCTTTATGCAGTCATTCTTATGAGCAGCCGCCATGAGTGACGCATTATCAAGGATGAAACTTTGAGGGAGGTGGAAAGATGCATCCGCTTTAAAGCCAAGACACCGTTTGACATCATTCAGTTCGACACCTGCATTATAAATTCATATAAAGATTATTTGATATTGTCTACTGCTATCACAAATAAAGTCTAATTTTACTGTTCCCAGATATCATTATTGACTAAAGGTAATATCAGGTCTTTTCCGCCTTGTCTTTTTATTGAAATCTAATGGCATCCTTTCACTTGGCTTGTCAGCTTAGTAGCAAAGTACATATTAAATTTACCACCTGCTTAAAAATGGTGTAGATCAGCCAAGGTGGTTTTAGTAAAATCCTTTGTGATACCCAAGGGAGACAGCAGCATCTAACATGTATTGAATGGTTATTATATGCCTGACATCACTCCAAATATCTTGCATGAGTTAGCTAATTTAATTCTCACATTAACCTTATAAAGTATCACTGAGTTTCATTTGCATCTATAGAAACACAGAACAAGACTCAGTTGTTTTGGATAGATGATTTGAATATATAGCAACTTCATTTTGTCTGATACTATGAATACTCGCAAAAACCAATCTTGGTGGCATATGCCTACCCAAGCAGTGATGCCCTGAAAAGTCTGTAATTTATTATAATATATTTATATATACTATTGCATATATAATATATATGCTATCTTATATAACTCAATAGTTCCTTTGTTTTAACGGGACTTTAGTGAGCCCTTCAGCTTTTGTTCATATTTCTCTTTCTGATGCTCCTTCATACATATACACAATACATATGCTATTGTTTGTTATAAAGCCACATATTTTATTTTTAAAAGAAAGGAAAACTAAGTTTAAAACAGAGTTTAATTCGACTGCTATGTATTTCTTGTACATTTGAGGGACAGCTGAAGAATTATCTGGTTTCATTTCCAGTGAGAAGGGAAAAGGTAGGATTTAAAGAATTAAAGAGAAGGAGGAGGAGGAAGACGAGAATAACAAAGAAAAAGAATTCTATATTCTTACACTCACCAGTAAGTAGTATGAGGTCTCTAATTCTGAAAAAGAGGGTGGAAAATGGCTGACTACAAAGACCTTATTTTCTACCTCAGCAGTGACCCTTCCATATGCGAATGACCTAAAATGGTGTAGAGAGATGCAGTTTCCTCTTCAAAGGCACTGGAACTAGCCCAGGGACCATTTTCTAAGGCTAGAAGGTAGGTAGGCATAAGTAGTCTTAAGGCTTAAGTAGGCTTAGTAGGCTTAAGGGTCAGAAGTGAGGATCTCATTTGTAGAACTTTGATTTGAGGACACATCTGGGCTGGTGGGTTCTCTGATCACAATGGCTAAGCCTTTCCTCCCCTGGTTCAGTTCCTCTCATGCTCCTCACTCTGTGAATCTGCTGTGACTGAGCCTAGCAAGCGGAGCTCGCAGGGAACTCACTGTGCTGTGGATACAGCTCCGAGCAACACAGTGAGCCAAACATCTTCATAGTGCATGACCCTGGGGGAGGCCTCTATACGCTCAAGACCAGACTGAGCTACCCTGTCATCTGTTCACACAGGAAATGTTTATTGATACAGGGAGAGTGTCAAGCTTAGGATCACCATAACTTTCCACTTTCCAGTTGGCACTTAAGACCTTGACACACACAGGAGCCATGCAAGTATATCTTAACAACACATTTTTGTACAACAGGGAGACCCAATTATTGTGAGGATGAAGAGGAGATATGCTGGCATCTATTAAGTATTGCAACTAGTCATAATCACTCACAGCATAAGTGCTTATCATTTGGGATTTTTGTTTTGTTTTGTTTTGTTCTTTGAGATGAGTCTCTCTACATAATCTTGGTTGTCCTGGAACTGTCTTTGTAGACCAGAACTCAGAGGTCCTCCTTCCTCTCTGCCTCACAAGTGCTGGGAATAAAAACACGCACCACCATGTCCACCTATGCTTATGATTTATTAACACAGTCATTTTGGGTTTACTTTATTATTTTTGTTTTTATGAAATGCAGCCTTTCTGTGATATCCAGGCTGGCTTCAAACTCATGGCCTTTAGCAAGCACTTTACCTTAGTTTTTTAAGTAGCTGAGTTTACAAGTAATATTGCTGTACCTGACTGTTCTACTTTATTCTTGAAAGAATTAGATGGATCTTTAGGTCTAAAGCATCTTTTAATTCTGGAGGATGCATGGATGAATCACTATGTTACCTTTGATCCATGGTTTTGACTGTAACAAAGTCTTATTCAACATGGCCTCAACTGAACTATTTCCATAATATTCAAATGATCACCATATGACACAAAACTAATTTTCAAACTCTTGTACTATACTACTGATCTTTCTTCCTCTCAAAGATAACAATAAGAACAATTCTCACCAACATTGAAGAATGCCTTGGAAGACAGTCATCATACATAAATTGAACTAGTTTGAGAATTAAGAGTTAGGTTATGACAGGGGTCTTTCCAGAGACTGATACTCCAACCAAGGACTATGCATAGAGATAACCTAGAACCCCTGCACAGATGTAGCCCATGGCAGTTCAGTGTCCAAATGGGTTCCATAGTAATGGGAACAGGGACTGCCTCTGACACAAACTGATTGGCCTGCTCTTTGATCATCTCCCCCTGAGGGGGGAGCAGCCTTACCAGGCCAGAGAAGATGACAATGCAGCCACTCCTAATGAGATCTGATAGACTAAGATCAGAAGGAAGGAGAGGGGGACCTCCCCTCTCAGTGAACTTGGGGAAGGGCATTCGTGAAGAAGGGGGAGGGAAGATGGGACTAGGAGGGGAGGAGAAAGAGGTTTATGGGGGGATACAAAGTAAATAAAGTGTAATTAATAAAAGTTAAAAAAATAAAAACAAGATACCCATTATCATAAAAAAGTTAGGTTATGTAAATTATTTCTTATACCTTCTTCTACATCTCAAATAATATTTCCATAGAAACTCTATTCCGAATAATAGTCATTCCATTCTAATATAATTTGTGAATTTCTCAATCATACTATTGAGTAGTTTGGGAGCAAGTGATTATTCAAATGTAAATCAATGAGCGATTTGATAGACTGTTAGATTCTCTCAGAGAAACAGATTATTAGGTTATTTCATTTTCAGAGTTTACTGAAAGGGGATAATGAAAACAACAATACTCCATCAGAACCACACTTAGAGTTAGAATTCATTTTCAAGCATACCGTTCTCTTTCATGGAGGCTTTATCCAAGACGTATATCAGTTCATAGAGTCCTCCCAGAGACCCAGAGCTGCTGTAGTGAGTCCCATAGGTTTCCAGAAATCCAAAATATTCTCCCTTTTCATAGGAAACTGGCAGAGCTTTTATATCATCCAGGAAAGTTTTCGTCAGCATAACATCCCGATTTCTCATCACAAATCGACCCAGCTGAATCATTCCTTTCACGTACATAAACATTTTTCCCTTTGTTGAAGGAGAGAAAATTGACTTTCGTTACTATCATTCAAACAAATCATAAAGCCAGGAGAGTAATACCTCAGCAGTGACTACCAGGGCAGACCACATCAGAACCAGTAAACATGAACTGTTGTTGGTGATGTTCAGCAACTGAAACTCTCAGACATGGCCGGTTGGACACTTTGATGACCTGCCTGGTAGTTTCTCATAAAATTAAACACTCACCTGCCTTCATGAGCATGAGTTTATTTAGTCCTGGCTGTCCTGGAATTCACTCTATAGACCTGGCTGGCCTTGAACTCAGAGATCTGCCTGCCTCAGCCTCCCCAGTGCTGGCAATAAAGGCATGCGCCACCACAACTGGCAGCAATGGCACTTTTAAATGCACGCCAAAGGGTATGTTTCAGAATTCCACAGCAGCATTAGTTAGAACAGCTTCAAATGTGAAAGAGCTCGAACACCCACCACCAGAGGAGTTGCTAAGCATATAATGTTTTATCCACACAAAGGGAGTTTGAGTAATCTGTCAGTGCAAACACTACTGACACATGCAACAAGTAATCGCAAGTATATAGTGATTAAAAAGAAGTACTGCATGGTGCCCTTCATAGTAACAGATATAATTAAGCTGTCACAATGAAAACCTGGTCAGTGGTTGCTTCTCAGTTGGTAGGGGATTGACTGTGAGGGTCACCATGGAATTTTCTCGGGCTGATGGGATGTTCTATCTTGTTTGAAGATGTAGGTTCTATGTTTGAAGGCATGTACTGTTTTTTTTTTTTTTTGGTGTGTATTTTAAGCCCTTGTGGGTATATACCCCTAACAAGAATCTTACAGGAACTTCCTTCATACATAACAAACAATAATGAGTTCCGTCTTCTGATCTGCCCTAGTTTTCAGCGGCATCTTAAAGGTGAGCAAAATGGATCAGGATTCTTTTCTTTTACTATGTCAAAAAAAGATGCTTCTCTTGGGATTTAGAGTAAAACGGACATGATATTCTTTGGCTCAGCTGATCTCAAAGGTAGGTCTTAGATCATTTTCGCCTAATTTGGATGTTTTTCCTTTCACCTTAAAACAACAACAACAACAAAACTCCATTCTTTTGGCTTCACGAGCCTCACCAGCTGCTCCCCATTTCCTAGCCCCTCATCAGACACAGCATTGCCTGAAAAGCTTTTTTATATATTCTATTTCTAACTCGTTTCTTATTTTCTCTTTAATCTATTTTCTTTTCTTTTTTTTTAGAGGAGAAGGAGTGTGTTGAAAATGACTCAAATCCTTGAGCATGCTAGGTAGACACTCTATCACTGAGCTATATTTCCATTCACTAAAATCTAATCCAGCCATTCTGCAGTCCTGACAAAGACAAAACCATTCTGGTCAAGGTTTCCAAGGACCTTCGTAATCCTAAGGCCAGTGATTACCATCCTCAGTTTTGACCCATTAGCTCACTTGGCAGAGTTAATGGTCAGGTCCTGGAGCTTATGAAGCTGTAGAAGATCAACATGGAGATCTTGTTAACATGTGCTTCTGACTTTTGTATCTCGGCGGAAAGCAGCCTGGCTTCCCATTGATCTACGCGATCTGATCCAGGGACCTAACTGAGCAGCAAGGTTCAAAGGCATTATACCTCTTGCTTTCTGGTTTTCTCTGTTTGTTTCTCCTTTTATAACATTCTTTAAATTGAAGTTCCCCAAATTTAGCACTCATTCTTCTACTTATAACGTGTATTCTAACCATGTTCTTTGTCCCACAAAGGCCTCTGATACATCTACCCCCACTTCCTACCTGACACCTTCAACTGAACACCGAACAGGGTGCTCACATTTAATCTAACTAGAACTAACCCTGGTCTTCCTTTCAGCCTCCTTTGCTTGAAAGGTCCCCCATCAGCAACTCCATCCTTCAAGTGGCTTAGGCTCTAAACACTGCAGTCAGATCTAGTGGGAACTATCCTAGTGGGAACTTCTGTGTCCCATCTGGATTCCTGCACTGGCTTTTACAACACTCCTATGCTCGTTCTTTGCAAGTCCAACCAATCTTTCCCCAATACAGTGCCCAAAGCAGCTGTTTTAGGTATAGCAATGAATGTCAACAATTGTGCTGAGACCCCCGTTGCAGAGAGGAAATTCACCCTTTACAGTGAGCTTTGAGGCTCTGTGTGATCCAATTAAAATTCCCTTTCAAATCTGTTCTCTTTCTTGTTCAATGTGACAGAAGCATTCCATTAGACTCTTCATATCTTTGAACCCAACTTTAATAGTCCTTCTTCCAGATACACTGTCTTTAATTCAGCTGCCTGGCGACATAGCCCTTAAATACTTGCTCTGATCTTGTCTTTTCAATGAAGCCCACCCTTGAGCTTTCCTTTTGGCACTGTTGTCTGCTACCCATTCACCAATTTCCCTTAAGCTTCTCTACCTTTCTCTTTTCTCTATAGCACCAATCAATTTCTAAAGATTGGATAGCTGCTTTTCTTTGTTGTTATATTTATCGTTTTTGGCAGACACCCTCAGCCAAGCTTTCAGCTGCACAAAGGTATGATTCTCTGTTGGCTTGATTAAAAAAAAAAGTATTCTAAGTATCTAGGAAAATGCCTAGCCTACACTGTGAGTCTACAGTTAAGAAAGCAAGGAATGGGCTAAAAAAATTGCCAGCTCTGTGCACGTTGAGGCAGTGCGCAGACTCACACAAACTAGTTGTACAATTAAGCACAATATGAATATTGAGAGTGAATTATTACTCTCAATATTACTCTGAAGATGAAGGGTCTAAGCAGGTGATGATGATATCAGGAAAGGAAGAGTAAGCGTTTGATCAGTATCCCACCAATGCCAAAAGAGTATGTTATATTTAGTCTAAAGGTGGTGAAATGAACTTTGAAATCTGCATGAAATATAAAAACAAAAACTTTTAAAAAAAATACTCAGTCTAAAACTGTGATTCCAAAGTAAGCAGACTGATTTTGTGTGCAATGTGTATGGCGTCATTGCTTGGGAAATAGACTGTACAGCAAACACGTAGGCATCACTCTGATGGTCCATTCGATAAATAAGTAAATTCTTCCAGATTAATTCTTCATTGTATTAACTAATAATCATGGTGATTGTTAAATGGGATGCTCTGACACTGATGTTTCAGTCAAGCAGTGTGCTCTGAACTCTTAGAACACACTTAAGTCACTAATGCCCAGTGTTGGCCTCACTGACTACTACTGGCATCTGAGCATTCCCTGCCATGGCAGTTTGCTTCCTGTTCTAGAACAGTTTACTTCCTGTTCTGTGAAGATTTACTGTGCTTTACTTTCGTTTCCTATTACCTCAAAGAGAGACTGAGGTCACTTGAAATATGTCCTATCATAACCTTTATATGAATTATCTAGTTCTTACCGTCTTTGACAAATATGTTGACAATCGTTTAAACATTTGACTCTTGAAGTGCGAAAATTGAAAATTAGTTGAAACTTCTTCAGGTTTTGAGTTTGAAGAGTTTTTTTCCGGGAAAACATTTTCAACTCCTTTTATAGGTGCTTCAGTAATTTTAAATTTTAGAGCTAAATTTACATTAAAATTCGAGGTCTTTTCTTGGATGATTTGTTTGAAGATATGAATCTCTTCTTCATAATTCTCAGTTCTGAAAATTTTATCAGCCTTGGTCTAAAAATAAAGAAGAGCTGTTAAAAAACAAACCCAAATCAGACAGCTATTTAAAAAGTAGTAAAGGAAGGAGTTTAAGATGAAAGTGCTGGAGTCACATTTTGTGGTTCAAGTACAGAGCCTGTGTTTTAAATTTTATTTTTTGTTGCTGTGATAAAATATCCCAACAAAAACAATTTTAGTGAAGAAAGACTTATTTGTCTCAGAACTATATCACTGTGAAGAAATCTAGGCAGGAATCTGAAGCGGCTGGTTGCATATCACCCGTAGTTAAGAGCAGAGAAAAAATGAATCAGTGTATACTTCTGCTCAGTTTTCTTCCTCTGCTGTAACATCACTTAGGACCTAAGCCCTGAGAATGGTAGCTTTCTGCATCCATTAACACAGGTAAGACGATCTCCACAGCCATGCCAATAGGTGATTCTAGATTACGTCAAGTGAACAATTAATTACAACTGGCCATCACAGCCCCTCCCCTTTTAACTTGGCACATGGACACATCACCTTTAAGGTATAACCTTCTAACCCTTGTCTGCAAAATTCATGTTTATATAATAACGTAAAATATAGTTCAACTTTGTAAAAATCCCCTGCCTTCAAAAATTCAGACAGGTTAAACATTCAAAGTCTCTTAATTCTAAGTGCCTATGAAATAATAATAATAATAAAAAAATTAAGCCATGTTCTTCCAACATATAATGGCACAGAATAAATGAATTGGGATGTAAAACAACCACACGAAAATCTGTTCCCCAGAAATTCAACAGGGAAAAGAAGCAATTCCTATACCTTCATATTCAACATCTGAGGATTGTAGTACAGTCTGGCCTCCAAAGGGCTTGAGTAGCCCTACCCTTCCAGCCCTGCCACCTGGAGCATCACAACTTCTCTCCTTGGCTTAGGTCAGATTCATTGCACACCTGCAGCTCTCCTTAGCAGAACTATGGTACCAGATTTCAAGTATCCTGGAGCCTCTGTTGAAATTGAGGCTTCACCTTCATAGCTTCATCCAGCAGTTTATCACGGCCTCTCTGCACGACTCCCACCCTGCCACACAATGCCTGGCCTCAGCTGCTCTCCATGAATCCCTCAATATTGCACACTTCATGCTTCAAAATCTGTACGATGTGAACGGTGTTTACAGCTCTGCCAAGTGAGGGCCAGCCCTCTAAGATCTACTCTGGCTCCTCTCGGGCCACAGCTCTACCCACTTCTGAGTGCTGACCCCGGGAAAACATACTTCTGTTGTCCTAGGGCAGCCTTGGGAGCTTCTCCACAGTGGCAGTACCAACCTGAATACTGTAGTGCCTTGATGGTTCCTCTGTCAAATGAATCAGTCCAGTATTTTTATATTCACTTTCACTCAGTGTCTCAGGTCACAGGTAGAATGAACCCATATTTTTGGTCAAAATACCAGACAAATGGCCTCTGGCTCAGTTCCCAATAGAGTGTTCTCTGAAGCATCACATCATGTCTCTACTGCCCACATTCTTAAGACTACTGTCTTCCTAGCGCCTACTGTGGCCCACTAACCTCTACTACCAGATTTCCTAACCCAAGGTTCCAAACTCTTCCATATATTCCAGTCATAAAATGGTTCAGGTAGCAAAAGAAGCACATATGTTCATCACAACAATAATCCCACCTTCTCAGAACCAATGTTATTTTACTAGAATAATAATAAAAATGTAGAATAATACATTATAAATTACATATTTAAATTATATTAATTGGTATTAATATATTTATAATATAATCACAAATATATTTATAATTAATATTAATACAATTAAAGATATTGTGAATAATTTTATAATTTGTAAATAAACAAATATAGGATAATAATAAAAAATAGAATAAAACCCAGTTTTGTTTCTATTGCTGTGATAATGTACACAGACAGAAAGAAGCAACTTTAAGGTTGTAGTCTAGCATTGTGAGGAGGCTAAGGCAGACTTTTGAAGCAGCTCATCATACCAGCAGTCAAGGGTGGAGAGAGAATGAGTAGGAATGTATGCTTACTGCTCAGTTTCTTATTAATATTCTTCTACAGCTCAGGGTTCAAACCCAAGAAGTAGGGCCACCCACTTTTATGTTGGGTCTTCCTACATCAAATAACATAATTATGACAGTCTCCCCAGACCTATGCATAGACCAACTTGTTCTAGAGAACCTCTCATTGGGACTCTTCCTCAGATGATTCTAGATGGTGTGATGTCAGTTATGAAAACTGTCACCACGCCTGTGATCTTCAGGACATCCCTACATACACTGTGCATCGTCTTATTTCCAGAAGAGAAAAAAAGAGATACTTATCAACATTCCATGGGATTCAATGAGAAAATTTGTATCAAACAATATGCAGCAAGATTTCAATAATTACTCTTTCCCCATAATATACATGTTGCACAAATTCATACACATAAAATATACTTTTTGTTGTTGTCATTTCTCACTCTCATCTCAAATACGAGCTTAAATATCATGTGTTTTCAGGAAGCTACTTAATCTCTTAGCCTTGTAAGTTTTTAGAATATATGGTTTGGTGGATCCTCTTTTTAAACAAAATAAAATAGAAACCTCTTCTGCTATAATTGCTTATTAAATAGACCCTCAGTGGAGAGCTATAAGAAGTCAGGTTTCTGCCTGCTTTATACTCTCACTGTTACAGCTTCCCTACTGAGCAAACTGTCTGTGTGTGGAAGGTACGAAGAAAATGTATTAACCTCAATATGTAGAGTAATAATAAAGCTAATAACTGGCATTTATTGTTTGCTCTGTGCCAGATGCGGTTAAAAGTGTTTCATGTACATGTGGAGAGGAGTGACTTCAGGAATGTGACAATAATACACTCCAGAACTGGTCCTCTTGCAGAAATGCTAATTTGAACAATTTCCACAATACAAATATAGTCACAAGGGCTAAGAAACCCAGAGATTGAGAGATCATTCAACCTGAGCACAGCATAAAAATAAGAAAATATGCCTGAAAGAAGACCATGCCTCCACTAGCTCAACCCAGAGAGCACACTGTGGAGAAGCCCTCTTCTGTAAGGAAGAGGAGTAAAGCGAGTGTTAGACTTTGCCTTGGACTACAGGAAGATAACGCAAAAATCAGATGCCTGTGGCCCCAGGCTCTTGGTCAGTCACTGTGGATTGAATCTCCAGCCTGCTCTATTGACAGGCAAATTCATGGCTCTGAATCTGGATCCTAACCTGAATCCTCATAACTCCAAATGTCAGGTTAACCTAATGCTCCTAGGACACAGATCTTTTCTTGTAAAGCCAGCCTCTAAGATTGTTTTAGTGCTAGGCTGATTCCTCTAGTCTCAGACTCCAGAGTGAATTGAGGATCCGATTGCTACACTTTCCTGATATAAAAGGTGCCACTTAAGTATCTCAGGTCCAGACAAGTCACTTCTGATACAAGACACAATATAACCTAACCTCAGCATGCATTTACAGCCTTAAGCCCCAGGATCAACCGGTTCTAATGAATATAGGTCCCTACTTTGTGTAGGCCAGGCCAGGTGGTTCCAGGCTACCAATGAACTCCTTTAAACTCGAGCTCTGGGCTCATAACAGGCTTTTGGCAGCTTCAATATCAGCTTGGTTTATAAACCCTCAAATTTCATGCCCATCACTGTGAAACGCTGGCCCCTGCAGCTTTAGCTTTAAGCTACCAACTATGGGCAAAGCACCCATCCAGTTTTCCATTACCATGCTTGTGCTCACAGCTTCTAGACCCAAGCTGACCCTGTAGCCTCAAGTACTAGGTCAGCACCGAGTACTTGAGTGTCTTTAGTCTTGACCCTTGTGCACAAGGGCTCTGCTCCCTCCCAGAGCTGGTCTGGCCCACATAGTTGAGGGTCCAGGTATACTAGTATGATTCAGCCTTCAAGTTTGTCTCAGAAAAAGCTTAATTACAATACAGTTCACAAAGAAAAATATACAAAATCAAAACTAGTAGTTTGACACATAAATAAAAACCATTAAAATGTTTAGTTTTATGAGATTGAGGTTAAATTGTTAACATTGTATAAAAGCTTGTTATAGAGGAGGACCTCCCCTATCAGTGGAGGTGGGGAGGAGCATGCATGAAGAAAGGGGAGGTAGGGTGGGTTTGGGAGGGGAGGAGGGAGGGGCTTATGAGGGGATATAAAATGAATAAAGTGTAAATAATAATAATAATAATAATAATAATAATAATAATAATAAAAGAAAAAAAGCTTGTTATAACTATAAGATGTTTTATGAAAGCCTTATGGTGAGTCATGATATTTCCAAGGCAAAAATTCATAGTGAAAAATCACACAATGTAAAGAGTCAAAAAATCACCATTAAACAAGCAAGCAAACAAACAAACAAAAAATCACCTAATTCAAAAGAAAGAGAAGGAAAAAAAGAACAAGGAATCCGTAAAACAGTATGAAAACAATTACATGGCAGAGGTTAGCCCTTACCCACCAATAATTACCTTGGAAGTAAATTGATTACATTGTCCATTTGAGAGATGCAGAGTGGCTCCGTAGATAAAAACCACAGCCCTGACCACATGCTGCTTGCAAGACACTCATTGATTGAAAGAAAGGATATACCTCATACAAATGTAAACAAAAGCGGAACAGAGGTAGCCAAACTTGTGTCAGATAAGACAGAGTTTAAGTACTGTGCAAAGCGATAAGGAAAGGCATTGTATAATGATAAAATCATTAATTCTTCAACAAGATCCACCAGCTCTAGGTGTGTATGTGGCCAAAATCAGAGCACCTAAAAATAGAAAGCAAATGTTGGCATGTTCTAAAATCTCCTTTTTGCTTCTCTTTTCCTTTGCTATATATTTTCCTGTGTGATCTCAGGGCCTTTTGGGAATTCAGTGATCACAAGAGTGAAGATCACTTTCTGGCATTCTCCTCGCCTTCAGATTGGTCCTATCTACTCTTTGTATGATAGCTACGTACACACCATAGAAAACCTCAAACTCAAAATTATCAAAAGTCTTAGGACTCATTTCTACTTTAGGAGAGTTCTCATACATCTAACTCTCCTATCTCTTTTGATGCTTCCCTGTTCCCTGAGGAGGGATCTCCTGACATTTTGTCTGGTATGTGTCATTTATTAGGCACTGTTCCAGCAGTTTACAATTATTAGCCCTTTTAGTATCCCCACCCCCAAAATTTATCATCACTTTGCTGCATATAAAACACTGAGATTTAACATGGATTGCCTAGTAAATGAAGGAATTTATCAAATTCTAACCAGGGAGTCTCAATTCAGAATTAGGCAGTTATCTCCACTTTTTCTTCAGTTGATATACAATGACCTCCATGCTTACATGTGCTGGGTTCACCCCTCTATCCATAGTCTGTGTCCACTGCAGACCCAGACATGCGTTCTGTTATCTCCTGCTTGGATTCTGTCTCTCCTTTCTCATTGGCTGTGGTCATCTCCCTTTGAAACTCCTCCTTATAAAACGGAAACATCTAAAATGACACTCCGACCATTTTGTTGTGCTCCATGGCTTCCTCACCATCTTTGGCATGAATTAACTCAACGTACTCAAAATGGCATGAATTTCTTTATGATTTGACCCTGCTTCTGACTACAAGTTGGAACCCATAAGAATTAATTTATAGATCATAATTCTTCTTATTACAACAACTTTTAAAGGGAAAGTCTTCATATTTATTTCTTGGGAAATATCAACATAAAACAAATAAATGAACACGTATACAATCATCTTTATCTGTCAGCTGTCAAGCTTTCTAAATGGACTCAAGCTGCCTGTAGAAAGACAAACTGAAATGTTCATCAGGCCTCTTCATGTTGTTGTCACCTCTAAGGAAAATTTGTCATCTAATAAATGTTCATTTGATTGAAGTTTCTTGTCTTCATTATAAATATCATCTTTAAAAAATATTAAGTCATATTAATAAGATAAATGATGGTATATAATTCTGTTATCCACTTGTATGGAGAAACTCTTCATGACACCTTTACTAGCTTTCTATACATATTTTATTTTGGGTTTCCCTTTAGTCTTCCAAAATTGAGAAAAACTAGAGGCTGAAAGATAGTAAGATTTTCAATAGTATTTTAGATGAGAAAGGTAAATAACTTAGTATTTTTGATGACAAAAGCCTGAGGCAATAACAGTGAGGATGGAGAATATAAAGCTAAAGTTAAAATTAAAGCTTTACGATTGATCAACTACTGTGCACTTTGAAGTGGGTCTGTAAGGGAAGGCCTGGAAATGCTTTTCAGGATTTAAGCTCAGTGATAAGGAAGATACTTCTCCCATCTACCGTTAGGAATGTTGACTGGTGATAACTGCAGACAATGAGAGTGACAATTACCTAGTTCAGAGGAGGATATCAGCTAGAAACAGCGTTTGTAGCTATCAGAACTAAATGAATGCTGAACTTACTGGAAAGAGAAGCATCAATGATTCAGGGAGAGTGTGAAAAAGAGAGCTCAATTGAAGCAAACAGAAAATCTGGCAACACCAAGAAGTAAAGACTGCCTGGAATAAAAACAGCTCCAAAGAAAATTGAGCCAGATTTGGGGAGGGCTGATGGCTGTGAACATCAGCTGGGGTTTTCAGTGGTTCCATAGCTCTGGAGCTGAGATAGGGTTCCTACCCATAAGGGATGGGTTTTAAACCACAGAAAATTTGAGACAAGAAACATCAAGTTATTCTCTCAATAACTAAAGACAATAACTTTTTGCCAATGAGTAACCTAAACAGGGTTTAAAAATTATCTCATACATGTTGGCAAGATGGATCAATGGGAATTTGTGTTCGCTATCAAGGCTGATGACGTGAATGCCATCTCCGAGACCCACATGGTAGAGAAGGGCAACCGACCCCTGCAAGTTCCCTGTGAATTCCGTGAGCTCCACAGTGTGCGCATGCACTCACAATACATAGGTGAAATATAATAAAAACTCATTCAGCAGGCAGGAATCTGTGAGCGTGCCCTCTGCACATGCGGTTGGTAATAGACAGTAAGAAAGTATACTTAACTTAGATTTTGTACTGATTCACAAAATGCAGAAGATGTTTTATTTTACTGAACATTTGAAACGGAAGAAAAAGTAAATTAAACTAGAGATTTCCACTCATAAAAAAAATTCCCATTTATTCATGCGTAAGATGACAAGCTTGGCCACTTACTTTCCAAGACCGTGACAGATTTGTCTAAGGCACCACCACTCACAGCACCAAGGTGACACAGGCGCTTAGCAAGGCCTCAGCTGAAAGAGCTCTCTGCCCTGATTGATACCAAGTAAGAACCCTTGTTCACATCCCTGCTTACTTTGTTTTTTTATGAGCTTGATGGAAAAACTTATTTGGAGGCACTAATCGCACCCGAGCTAATCAAAAGTGATTATAGATTTTTATTTATTCCACATCGTGTGAACATAGGTTAGTCTTGCAATGGAAAGCTTAATGCGTTTGATTGTGGGGCGCTGTTCCAAATATCCCATGAGTGTCAGTAATATACAGGGCAGAAACCACGTCTTCCGCCTTATATCTTTCTAGAGGTGGGGCAAGGGTGTGTTTACTCTCCTGGTGTTCTTGATGTGGCCACCCAGCCCTAACCATTTCGTATCATACAAGTTTTGCCTTTATACAGAAGTTGCACGTGCCAAGCAACTTTCCCCTATCAGTAACGGCTAAAGGCGCCATGTTTTCTATATTCCATTTAGAAAAGCGCTTAAGATTTTTTTACTGTCAGACAAAGTGCTTCGTGTTTTTAATCACAAGAGCTCAGAGGCTGAGGCAAGTAGATCTTGGTGAGTTTGAGGTCAGCCTGGGCTACATAGTGAGTTCTAGTCCAGAAAGTCTAGATAGTAAGACCCTGACTCAAAAAAAATTTTTTTTCATTTATGTTGAGTGTGTATTACATAGGCACTTCGTGCCACATGGTGCATGCGTGTAAGTGAGAAACAGCTTGGGTGAGTCTGTTTTCTTCCATTATGTGGATCCCAAGGATGAAACTCAGATCTCCAGACTTGGTGAAAAGTGTTTTTACCAGCTGAATGATCTCACCAGCTCAGAAAACTACTTTTTTCGATAGAGTGTTGGCTTTCACCCACAAAATTTTGTACTTAAATGAGGCAAATAAGATACTATGGAAAAAGACCATAACCTCCAAATTTCCTCCAGATTTGTGGGAAACTGTTGACTTTATTCTAGATTTACAGGTGCAAGAGATCTAACAGTGTGGTCTAGATATGAGTTAACATCACAGGCAAATAGGATAGCTTCATGCTGAGATGGGTAGGGATTTATTTATGATTATTAAAAAGTCTATATGTACTGTAGTGTGATGGGTGTGGCATCAGCGGGAAGAACTTTCCAGAAACTCAAGAAAGAAGACACGAAGGGCTTTCTTCTCCGAAAGGACCAATTCGATGAACAACTGGCATGGAAGCAGTTTGATCATTTTGATCACACAAAAAATCTGCTCTAATTTTATTTTTAGTCATTTTAGCACCCTGGCTGATTCTTTTTTATAGAACATAGGTATTTTTCCCAAATCTTTATCACTAGGGGTATGTTGTTAGGGCTGATGAGAGACTACAGTGTGTTTCTGAGAGGTCTAAGATACATCTCTCTGTCAGCACCACAGTCGCTTTCAGTTATTACTGCACTGAAAATTAAATTCAGTAAAACATCTTTCAGCCAAAACAAAACATGTTTTCTGCTGAGGTGACTTACTTCATAGGCCAGAAAAGCTACATTCCAGGGTTTGCGATGGTATGTCAAAGTGTTTCCGTCCCGTACCCGGTCACAGAGTCCGTTGTAGAACTCATTGTCGAAAGGATTGCCCAGGGGATCCATCCCTAAGACGTTAATTCTGAAAAGAAGCAGAATGGGGTGATATGGGTAAATGCCGCCGTTAACGCAAGGCAGGCTTGTGTGGCAGGGAGAGTGAGACAGCTTCGGTTCATGTCGCTGTCATCCAACACGGGTGGGGTTTAATCAGGAACAGAAGTGGGGTGGGCCGTTCTCTTTGGAGCTGTGACTTGGCAGAAAGCTTGCCTTAGGAGGGTCTTGTCAACTCTCTGGCACCTAGGGCACTGTTAGAAAAGAAAAGGCAGTAAGTAGGACACATGGGACCCTCTGGCTCCTGGAGTCTTAGTGCTAAGGCTGTACCTCTTACCTCACGTCCCGGAGCGAACCAAATGCCAACGCTGCAACACCAACTACTTAAAGTATTTGAGAGCAGAACATCCCAGGGGGGCAATACAATTGTATGCATGTAATTTTTCATCTATGAATCAACATCAGGTCTCTCTCTCTCTCTCTCTCCTGTTTTCTTTATTCTTAAGCCTTCCTCCAGCCATCTCACTGCTTGTCCAGAATCTCAGCACTCCCCCAGGATTATATTATTCCTGTTAGACTTTCCAAGATGAACATTCAAAAAAATGTTCAGCATCTGAGCAAGGTATTCTCAAAAGTTCTATGCACCTCCGCCACCACCCCAACCAGCAAGCTTTAATTCACAGATAGAAATATCGTTAGCTGTAAAACAAAAGTCACATTTGATTTCTAGGCTTAAAAACAGTATCTGCACGAGAAACTGTTAGCCCTTTGCGAAGTTCACCTTTGCTAGTCTTAGGAGCACAGACGTCGCTCTGTAGGCGGTGGATACAATAGATGGCTCTTAGCCCAGGATGCCAAAATGGACATTTCTTCCACACACTCCTAACTCCCGAAGCACAGACTTTGTCCATTGTTCTAGATCACATACCTAACTTCAATTAACAGAATTATAAATCTGTATATTAGTTTCACGAGCTATTTGTCAGAGTGTGGATGGAGTACTATAAGCCTATTGCTAATGCAAAACAAAACAAAACAAAAAAGAAAACCGGGAATATGAGCAATGGGTAGGTTAAAAAAAATCTTCAAAATTATAGCATATTTTAACTCAACATGAAGCTACCAAAGAAGCAACAATGTGGCTCTATACCAGACAGACAGTTGAGGAAGCTATTTGTGAAAGTTGAGCTACAGATAAAATTAGTTCACTGTCTAACCTTCCCAAAAGACCTTTCCCAGCAAATGCTAAGGCTCTGAAGTTCTAACACTGAGCTGAAAATTAAAGCGATTAGCTCAAACAAGTCACAGGCAACGTAGCTGCTTTGTTATCTTAAAAATTTTCTCACTTGCTTGTGTTCTGTTTTGTCACTCATGTCTGAATTTATAGACCTCCCCATGACATCATGGGAAGCTCCATGCTCAACCACATCAGTTGCTTTGGCCAATGGCACGTAGCGGAAGGTAATCTCTAGACACTGAGAGGCCTCCTGTATTTCCCTTTGCTTTCCTTGACTGGTGCCATCCCCTTCGAGAAGGGTTTCTCCTGATGGTAACTGCTACTTCTCTTTAGCGCTGCTGCCCCTGAAGCCCCAGCATCTCACCAAACCACTGTGGAAAGCAATGCCAACCCAGGCACTGCAGCTCAAAAGCAGTGCTGCCTGTCAAGCCCTGTCTTGGAATTATTCAGTTCTTGTCTTCAGTCACAGAGGGCTCGAGGCAGCCCTTCTACCTTGAAGTCACGCCACAGGCAGTGGGAAGAATGGATGATGTGTTTGTTTCTTAAACGGAACTCCAACTCCATGTTACGTGATGGTGACCCTTGTGTCATCAATGCACCTGCATTAGACTCCTGAAGTTAACCTTTCCTCCAAATGGTTAACTTTGGGGGGGGGGCTAATTACTACATCTTTGTGTTTATAGTAATCAGGGGGTGGTAAGAATACAGTCCATACACAAATGGCACCCACAAAAATTGCTTTGAAGTTGGGGGTGGAGCATATGATTAATATATATTTAAAAATTAGTGTGGGAAGCATATACTACATCAAATAAGTAGTATAGATAAATGCTGTATGAGGTCCATGTTATACAAGGAAAAGGTCATCATGGGGAGATCATCAAGGGAAAAGGTTTGGCTTTGATGGATATGCAGACTGGGATGACGGGGGGATGTGGGCGAGATCCCACATGCATCACACTTAAGGAGTAGTGTTCTTACTTGTGGACTTTCTAAAGAGATTTGATTAGCTGTATCTTCCTCAGCGGTTTTAGTGAAGCATCCAATACTTTTCATTCTAAGCTTAAATAGTTGCAAAAGATATAATCCCATCAGGCTATGAATAGTTACTAAAAATATAGTTACTATTCTACAGTGAAAATTCAATCTACTATATATAAATGGCACAGTGATGGTGCAGATTGCTCTCCCACAGAATTTTAACTTAAGATAAAATATAATATAATTTATGTTGACTAATCATCACCTTTTTATGCTTTGTACCAAAAGATATCAGCTGAGTATTTTAAGTTTTAAACATCTCTTGACCATTGAGTGTCATTGTAAGTGGTCAATTTTTAAGTCATTACCAAACCAAGAAAAACTGTGTTAGAAGGCTATCCCAGTGGGATGAATGAGCTTCTTTTCAAATTAATAGATAATTTTCTGTATTTGTAGATGTTATTTAGTACTCATAAGATACAGGGTTCAGCCCCAATATTACTTTTTCTTCCCATTTTATGGATGTAAATGATGATAAATTTATTCACATAAGTAGACAAGAGTAGAGGTGTTTGTTATAGTAATGGCATTAAATTCTTTGGTCTTACATGTAAAAAAGAGTGCACACACAATAGTCTTTTATTAAGAACTATTTATAGTCCATTAACTGATTACTGGTCAGGATTAGTTTTAAAAATGAAGACCATTTTATTCCCAAGACATCAGAGTCTAATTGAGCGCTAAGATCTGGAATTGGGTCTTGGGTTTTCTACCATTTGGTATTAGTGAGGTGGATGAGAGGCTATTTGGCTTTTGGAAGTGGAAGGTGGATATTAGGTGTGGAAAAGCTGCTGGACGCCTGGGCACATGTATCACAGTTGGTAGATTGTTTGCTTTACATGAATAAAGCCCTGGGTTCAGTCACTAGCACCACATGCATCCTGGAACGGTGGCACAAACTGGTGCTCTGAAGTGACAGCAAGTTCCTGTCTTAAAAAATAGTACTGAGTTAAAAAAAAAACGCAAAAAGGACGAAAGAGCTGCATACTCACACCTACTGGTTTTATAAAAATACGTACACATGGAGGTTGAGTCTTATTGTTCGACCAGTTGCATAATGAATAGTAAAGGAAATTATTACCTTAAAGCTTGCTTGACACTCGCCTGGAAGGTTCTTGTGTGCCCTTGGCTATGTAGAGCCTGGTTTTGTAGGATATTGTTCAACAGAATAGCACATTGACCAGTTGGCTGTGTCCACCTGGAAAGCTACAGAAGCCAATAAAGTCGAAAGCACTCCTAAGGAAGAAATGTTTCAAAAACCTTTGACTTGATTCCACTCCTGCAGAGACAGCCAGTCTAGTCTAAAATGAGCCAATATTTTTCTGCCAAGAAACATGAAAAGTGCTCATGAACAGAAAAGTCATCACCTAGGAAATTTTAAGGAAAAAACATGTTCTTTGGCAGTATTTAGAGACGGCTGCTTCCACAGCTGCCCCTGAGCCACAGGCAGCTTCGACTCACCAGGTGAGCTGACAAGAAAGCTCCCTTCACAGAAGGGGAGTTAGGCTTAGATCACACAGAGAAAGTAATTCATGACATATTGTACATCATTTCCAGCTGGTTTTGATTTGTGCTTTTTCAATGAACGCAAGAAGGGTTGGAGGACTTCCCTGAATATTTGGGGAGGATCTCAGATGCCTACAAGACGGAAGTCTGAACCATTTGCAGAGACAATAGAATTCTGCCAGAGTATCAACTTATATAAAAGAGTCCTTCAAATGGATAAAGATTAATTAATTACATCATGTCCCTGTGGCTTGCCCATGTAGAGGGTCTGGATGGATGAAACGGTAGATTGGACCCATTATGGTTTCTGAGACTTGACTGTGGAGAAGCAATTTCTAAGCATGTTGCTCTGACTGGCTTCTTTCTTCCTGTGGTCGTATCAATGAGGAGTGCACCCTCATTGAGCACTTGACACACTTGAGCACCTGTTCCCCAGTTGGTGGTGCTGTCTGGGAAGGTTTAAGGGGTGTGGCCTTTTTGGAGGAAGTTTGTCACTCAGGTCAGGCCTTGAGATTATATAGCCCCTCTCTAATTCCAGTTCTCTATCTGTATGTTTCTTTCTTGAGGTAGATGTTATAATCTTTCAGCTTTCTGCTTCTCCCACCACGCCTGCCTGATGCCTTGTGTTCCTGCCATGACAGACTCATGTCTCTGGAACTGTAAACCCAAATAAATTGTTCATTCCCTAAGTTGCCTTGATCTTAGTGTTTTCTCATAGGTACAGAAAAGTAACTAATGGAGTCTTTGCCACCTTTGCCTCACATGTAGTCCAAAGCTAATTGAGGTTTTTTAATGGAGTTTTATTGCAAATGTCTAACATTTATAAAGTTGAAGCTTATGATCAGATAACAAAACATATTATCTTAAAATTTGTAGATATTAATGGTTGATTACCTAATTCAAAGTATTCTACTGTTCATATTCTATATCTATAATCTATCTACCTATATATATTATATATAGTGTATAGATTTTATTATATTAATATATTATTTATAATAGATATATTTGTATTTAGAATATACATTATATAATGTTTATATTATATATAATATATAATATTTAGTAGGTAGATCTTAACTATATTTATGTAGTTCATATATACATGAAAAAGAGAGAGATGGGGTCTTACTGTGTAGTCAAAGTTGCCTTTAAACACATGATCCATGAGCCTCAGCCTCCCAAGTGTTAAATTTATAGGAATAATAATAAACAGCTACTTAAGGAGTTTTGTTTTTTTATTATGTTTTTTTATTTAGTAGATGTGTGTGTTTGAATATGTTTATGCGTGTGTGTTTGTGTGTGTTTATGTGTCATGGAGCAAGTGTGGAGGTCAGAAGACAACCTACAGAAGCTGAGTCCCAGGGATAAAACTTAGGATGTCAGCCCTAGTAGCTAGTGCCTGTACCCATGGAGCCATCTCATCGGTCCATGGACTATCATTTTGGGAGCTTAGTTTTGCAAGCTTGCAAAGAGGAAATTGACTTCAGGGCTTTGAAGCAGTATGGGGGCATGTAGGGGTCGATGTGGTGAGAAGAAGAAAGGTAAAGTGGTGTAGAGGGGAAAATATGGTTTCATGTGATACAGAGAAACTTGGGTTTAGTGCTCCAAAACACTCGCCAAATGGCTTTAATTATTTCACTTAGTCCTTATTTACAAAATGAGTATAAAAGTGCCCCTTACTAGGTCACAGAATCATTATGACAATCTGTAGGGATAGAATATATAAAGAGATTCTGAAAAATTCAAGATAATTATGCAAATGGCGGTAGTAGTTTATATAAAGACTAAACTTGTTAAGGGTTTTTGCTCGAATTGTAGGGGATTCAATAAAAACTGCTGATAGATGGATTCTGAAAGGACCTACCTCATTTCCCGTGTCTGCAGCTAATCTTTCCCATAGCTGGGTCTCCTCCTCGGCCCTGATGGCTCAGCCTCATCATATTCCCCAGCTCTACCCCTGACTGTAGTTAAAGTTCTAAGGGCCCTTTGCCAGTTCTCTAGGATGCTTCCTTATGAAATTTGCTTGCAAATGCCAAGTTACAAATTTTTCTTTTCCCTCAACAAAGGAAACCAATAGATTATGAATGATTTTTTTTTTCAGTTAAGCAGGCCAACATTTCTGTATTCCTTTCCCTTTAGACAGCTATAAATTTGCATTGAGTGAGAATAAATAACACATGTGATTCTCTGTTTTAAGTCATTTCATTGAGATTCAAAATATAACGTGTTTCCCCCTGAGGAAAGATACAGAAGGGGTTTAGGATAATTTGAGCCCATAGCAATCTGGTTAGAAGGGTTTTGGACAACCCTATATTGTTAACTGCCATTTACTAAGATTCCTGGCCTAAGACAATCCATTTGATTCACAAACACAGCTTTCAAGCTAAGGGCCAAAGGCACTGTGGGTAATCATTGAAAGCCATTTGGGTAAGATTTTATGAAGTGAATAAATGGTGTGTGAAACATTTACCTTGTGCCTGACCCTTAGTATCATGGAATTTTGTTCTTACATTCATTAAATGGATGTTTCCTCTGACTGCAGAGAGACATCTTTCCTTTTAGCCAGATCCGCTAAGGATCCAGTCCTCAGTGCAGGGCTTTTTGGCCTCAGGACCACCGACAATGTGGGGCTATATGTAGTAGGATGCTCAGCATCAACATTGCTAACCAAACAGCGACTGCCAACAGCACCTTTCCGCATTGCCCTCTGCAAGGACTGACAACTCAGATGCTCTTTAGACACTCCTAAATGTTTCCCGTTGGGGAATCACTGTACCCAAGAATTTCTGTCACTCTACTTTCTCTATTAGCTTTGCTCTTGCCTCCTCTGCCATCTTTTTTCTTCTCCTCATCTGCATTCCAATTTTGGACTGAATTGGATTTCCCGAATTTCAACCTAGGAACTTAAGTTTCCATCTAACCCGGTATTACCAATGTTTCAGAAGGTCCCTATGAACGGATTTTTACTCATTAAATAATTCACCTGTTTTTATCTACCTACCAAGAAATTATCAAGCATTTATTTTGAGTCAAGAATGAAACTAAAAGAATGAAGAAACCTGAGCCAGGTGCTGTGGTGCATGCCTGTAATCCTAGCACTCTGGGAAAGAGAGGCAGGCAGATCTTTGTGAGTTTGAGGCCAGCTTGGTCTAGGACAGGCAAGGCTACACAGAGAAACCTTGTCATAAAATAAAATAAAATAAAATAAAATAAAATAAAATAAAATAAAATAAAATAAAATAAAATAAAATAAAATGAAATGAAATGAAATGAAATGAAATAAAATAATAAAAAAAAGAATAAAGAAAACTATTACATGATAGATAGTAAAATAGAACCATTTACTTCTGTCCATGTCCTGCAAGATGTGAGAACAACTGCATCTCTGTTGGGGACAAAGTTACCCAGCTCAAACTAAGCAGTGAATGTCCCTGGAATGCCTTCCAACCGGAATGGAATAGAAGAGGACCTCAGATTTGTCATCTTTCCAATTCCTGGAGCATAGATGTCCCTAGAATCCTCTCTGCTCTCTGTAGTCCTAAGTTCTAAACTTCTAGACTTTTGCGGTCACAGTCCTGAGCCTCTTCATTTCTTTGTGAAGAATGGGTTGCCTGTCAGCTCTCTACAATGAGACCCCAAACCCTGTTACCCTCTGGCATCATAATCTAGTCTTTTGATCTTGTTTCTTCTAGTCCAACTCCATACTTATAATCAGGCATCAGTTCAAAAAACATTTCAGTGGAAGGTAGCCATCCTAGGAATTCAGATGCTTTAATGGTTTTGACACACCTGCTATGGGCCACTTAATTCTAAATGTTAACATGTCATGTCTGTTGCTGTGGTTTTCCTGACATTTGCACCTGAGATGCACTATCTCCTACTGACTGACAGTGAAACTCATTCAACAAACCCCTTACTGAGGCCTGGCAGCATCCTTAAATAGTCTAAATATAACTAAATATTCTGAGGGCCTTACATGTTACCTCCCGAAATATATACACCAAAAGTTTGCATTATTTGCATTCTTTATATATGCCCTTGCATGTATTCTTTGTCAAGGTGAAAGAGTCGGAATCCATTTCCACTCATTTTCATCTGGAAAGACTCGAGGGAAATACAAACCCAAAGCCTGCTGTTCGTCCCAGCTCAGATTCTTCTACCACTCGATCACGACACGGGGGGCGTGGGTCACGGTCACAGTCGTCCTCGTCTGAAAAATCTCCACAGTCGTTGTCACCATTACACAGAAGTCGTCTCTTTATGCACCTGCCTGCAGTCCAAAATCAGAAAACATGCCGTGTGTCATGTTAAATTCTCGCTCCTGCTGAAGTCAGCGCGGGCACTTTAACATTGGAAGTGAGGGCGAGACAGGCTAGCCCTTGTTGGGTAGCCATTACGCTTGGGGTTGTGTCTACCTATGAAAAGGTGTTTATTTATTTTCACTCACAAGCATCCACAGAGGACCACAGAGAGAAACTGGAGTCTCAGATTACCTGTTCCACATTGGAAGTCATTCCCACAGTTTTCCTGTACCTCCACACATTCCTTCGTGGGTTCACAGTGTTGTCTGTCTCCCAAACTATCAATACAGCTTTTCCCATGAAATTGTCCAAAGGCTACAACGCTTCTTGAGCGAAACTATAAAGAAACAAGCGAACAGAACAGAGTTGAAAGATTGTATTTCCTGATTCAACAGTGGACTGTGGTCTGAAGCAGCGGTTCTCCACCTTCCCGGTGCCACCACCCGTTAATACAGCTCCTTATGCTGTGGTGACCCTCCCGAACCATAAGATTATTTTTGTTGCTACGGTTATGAGTGGTGACGTAAATCTCTGTGTTTTCTGGTGGTCTTAGGCGACTCCTGAGAAAGGGTCGCTGAACACTCGAAGGGATCGTGACCCACGGGTTGAGAGCTGCTGGGGATAAAGCGACGCCACTGCAGGCCTCACACGCAAAGGGCCCATGATTCTGAGAGCGAGGTGGAAGACACTGCCACTGATATCACTTAGCTGTGCCTGCTCGGCTGTGCAGTCTCTTACACGCACAAACTGTCGCCGACACTTACCAGCCCACTGTCCAACAGGCCGCTCTCCTGGTCAGATCAGTCACGTTCATTTCAATGATTACCTCTTTCTGGTTTGGGATTTGTTTCTGGGAGAGTCCCTGCCTCATAGCCGTTTCCCTGAAGACAGCGGTTTTTAGGAGCTGGGGTAGACAGAGTAAAATACTTACCCTTTGTTCGAGGCAAGGGTCACATTGCGACCATTGGCTCCAGGGGCTCAGTCTGCAGTCTATCGGCAACAGGGAGTCTCCTCTTGGTCTTTGCTCTTCGCTATCATGAAGACTAAAAAGTAGCAGTTTAAAAGGACCATTATGTATATTTCCTTCCAAGAAACCTTCCAAAACCAATTTCAGGTAGTTACTACCTTTCCCTTCTTAAATCATACTGCTTATTCATATATGTATATATACATATGCATACATATATGTATGTGTGTATGCATATGTGTATATACACACATCTATATATACATATATAGTATGTATGATGTATGTACATATATTTGTGTGTATACATATTTGTGACTGTGTCTGTGTGGATAAGTATATGCACATGTGTGTGCAAGAGATTTTCAGATGTCTTCCACAGTCATTCTCTACTCTATTTTTTGAGACAGGGTCTCTCACTAGATCTAGAGTTCATAGATTTAGCTGAACTGGGTATCCAGGCAGCTCTGGGAATCTATTTGTTTCTCTCCCCTCCTGCACCCCAGTTGACTTAAACATGCACCTTACCATAGCTGGCTACAAGTAGTGGCCTGGGGATTTGAACTCGGGTCTCCATGCATGTGTTTACTTTGCCAATGGATTTATCTCCCCAGTCCACACCATATTCTTTAGAGTGTCTCCCACAACACTTGAGCACATGGTGTTTTGTGTTTTCAATTCACTCGTTTGTTTAGTTCTAACTCATCAACAGCAGCAGTAACAATGGCAGTAAGGACAGCCAGCAAGGTGTCCTGAAGGGTATTTGACACTGACTCATCTTTTATAAGTATGTTATGGACTCACTGGAACTAGAAGTCTTGTTTCCCTTTCTTTGTGCATCTCACTCACCCCCTGAAAGACTGGCAAGCCTTGGAGTTGCCTGGCTCTCTTGCAAATTTAAGCCAGCCAGTCCAGACATTCCTGTAGGAAACACTTCATAAATCAGCACCCCGCCCCAATCCATGCTTATGTTCTAAAATAGATGCTGTCCTGCTTCACAGTTCAAGACTTATTTGTGATCTTTCTGAGTTTCAGCATCATGTGTTTTAGCACTTACAGCATGCTCTTCATCCAGGCACAGTGCTCAGTCTTATGCTTCAGGCATTCTAGTTTTGAGCTGTTGCTGTTGCTGGCTTACCATTTGTGTCTCTTCTTGTCATAGCCCCACCTTGGGTACTTAACCCATTAAATGATTAGAAGAGAGAAAGCAAAACAAAAGCAAAACTCTCCAACAAGATCCCTACAGATGCTTTACCTCTGCTTCCCTAGTCTGGCCTTCTATCAAGATCTTACACCAAGTAGAGGTCTATACCAGGAATGTTCTAGAACTCAGCTCCAGTTTGAAGCTGATGAGATGGGTGTCTCTTCCATTTTAGGCTATTCTTCATACTCATCTACCTCCAATTGTGCAACAATGTATTAAATAAGCCAATAAATGAAGAGGTAAGTCCCTCTCTCCACACTCTTGTTTCTTCCAGCTAGTTCATCTCTGCCCTGCCTTTTGTGCTAACACATTTTTAAATATTACTATAAATGCCTTTATATCTCTTTCCCAATAAAGCTCATATTCTTCAGCTATCTATGTTCCTTGAGCCATTTCAAAATCCTCCATGCTTTTTTTCCTCGGAAATTTCTTGAAAAAAAAAAAAAAAAGAAAGAAAGAAAGCCTGCACTTTGGTTTATCTCCTTACCTCTCAACCATTTTCTAACTTTCTTGTCCCCATGCTGCCCCTGCTCATCAGTGATGACTGTCATGTGGCTCACTCACTTCTTCTTGGTCCTTTTTGGCTTCCTCTCTCCCTCTTCTGCACTTGACCACTGTTGTTTCTTAAGACAATTATTCAGTATTTCCTTTTATTCTATTCTAAACTCCGTGGCAGTTTCATAGCCCTCCATGATGACGTGTGGTCTTCTCATCCCATTCCTCTCTCTCATCTCCCCTTCTTCTGCAGAAAATCTTCTTCACAACCAGTCCTTCTGCTTTCATATCTTCTTTTGTGTGTGACCCACTCAGTTCAACTAAAGTTGATTTCATGATTGTGGGTGAAAGGTTATCTTTTGGAATATGGGCAACTTATCTCTGGCTAGACCACTGAGAAAAATTACTCTTTCTCTCTCTCTCTCCCTCTCAGAAGCCATTAACTGACAACAGTCCGCCAAGAGAGGGACCCTCCCCATCCACAACAAGGTACCCAGTTTTGTTCAGGGTTTGTGCAGATAACCACAGCTTCAGTGAGTTTCTGTAATGTCCAAAAGACACCTTTGTTGGACATCTCCCTATCCAGTGGCTCTTACATTCTTTCCTCCTTCTGCAATGTTTCACAATCCATGAAGGGGATAACATAGCTGTCCCTTTTATGACCAAGTGTTTTGCCATTTCTTTTCTTAGGCTGAGCCACACTAGACTCCTTTTCTTATATCTTTTCTCTGCTATTTTTATCTGTTCTACTCTGTTCTCCTCCTCCTCTGTAGTCCTTCATGTGCTGTTTATTCATTGAGGTGCTCCTCCTCTCTTCTTTCCTCCTCTCTCTTCTCTCATCCTCTCTTCCCCTCCCCTCTTCTTCCCTTGCCTCTCTTCTTCTTCTTCCCTCTTCCCCCCCTCCATCCTTGTCTTTCCAGATCCATGGTTTCCACATGTGTGCTAATGACACCCAGGCAGGGATAAACGTGCTGTCCAGACATCTCTCCTGAAGTTTAAACTTTGGCATCCAATTCTCAATTCTACATCTGTACTTGGGCATCTTCATGGCCCATTGACCTCAATGTTTTCCCAAAGGAATCCATTATTTTCCTTTTCTTTCAGGGCTACTCTTTCATTTATGAGTTATCCTAGCCAGAGACTGGGTGTTACTGTCTAATTCTCTATTCCCCCTCCTCATCTCTGACATCGAATCGAGAACTGAAACCTGTTGTTGGCAGCCTTGTAAATGATTTTTCAATCCATCCTTACTTCCTAATATCTTCCAGATGTTCTTCTGATCCACACTAATATAACATCTCTTCTAGCTGACTCTGGTAATTTCTTTCTGACTTTGTTTGCATACGGCATCCAGAGGGATCATTTAGAAAAGCAAATTTAATGTTATCCTGCCCCTACTGAAAACTCTCCAATAGTTAGAAAGACTACATATGTGACAAGGCTCAAGTCTTCCAATATGGTGTGGAGAATGACTACCAGAGATGTTTAAAATCCTTGGACCCCGAATATGTTATTTACACAGCAAAAGAGACATTGCAGACACAATTCTTTGCTTTTTAGTGGACTCATTCTAATCACATGAGATCTTACACTTCATTGAAGTATAAAGAAAAAAGAGGCAAGAGAAATGCAAGGCCTAAAAGGAACTCTATCCATTACTGCTGGCTCTGAAAATGAAAAGAGTAGGACAATAAGTAACGTTAAAGTCCTTTTGAAAAGTCGTATGGAAACCTACTACTGTAGATGCTTCCTATAATATATACATATATAATAGGAGTTTAAGTGGAGTTACCCTATAATAGGGAGACACTACCTCAACTAGACATCATACACTATCAAATAAAACAGTCAGTACCAGAAATGGGCTATATATTTTGAGATGTTGGCCAATAGGGTCTCCACAGAGTGAAGCTTTGGTCACGCTTGATAACTTGACAGTAAGATTTTATTGCCAAAACCATTACATTCTTATTTGAAGTCTAGTTGGTATTCAACTGGTAGCTTCATCTTTAGCGGGCAGCATCCATAGCCCTGGAAGGTGTTTTGTACACAACTGAAGGAGAAAGTAATCATCAGTCTTACCAAGTTATGAACATTGTGAATGACAGTAATGGTTTGCCTCGTCAGATCTGTTTATGGTAGTGGCACAAATACTATGGGAATAACCAACCACTTTTTTAAAAATTGGATTTAAGGCCAACACACACTACCCACGATTAGCCCTAATTTTCTAGAAATATAGGTTAAAATATGTAGTACATAGGCCAAAATTCATAGCAGAATCTATTTTTAAACATATATTTGTATATGTTTCAAGTTGCCTAGCTGAAAAATTTTCTGCTGGAAATTTTCCACTAAAGCCTCTTTGGAACTGAAGTATCTTAACAATCAGTGGAACACTCTGTATTCTATGCTGGTTGCATTTCATAATCTTGAGACATTAAAAATAGTAATTGGGGGGTTGATAGATGATTTAGTAGTTATGAACGTTATCGCTCTTCCAGATGACCCTAGTTCAATCCCCAGCACCCACATTATGACTTACAAGCATCTGTAATTCCAATTCCAGGGGATTGGATGGATTTTGTATTAAAGGTCACAGGCATGCAGGTGGTACACAGACACACAAACAGGCAAACCAACCATACGAAAAAAAAAAAAACAAATTTAAAAAGCCTTGTGGCGGAGATCTAAATCAATGGTAAAATGCTTTACTAGCAAGTGCAAACTCCCTAACATCAAAATAAGTAAGTAAATAAATAAATTTATATACCGCTCTCATATTATTGATTAAATCAGTTTCTCCAGGGATGAGTTATAGATAACAGTGCTTTGAAAAACTACTTAGGTGATGCTCATGTTCAAACAATGTTCAAAAACACTTTTGGGGAACATCTCGTAGAAGTCCATGCTAATTGAGAGTGTGGAATAAATATAAGTTTGGGAGTGATCATTGTGTCAATATTACCCAGACTTGAGTTCACTGTTGGCTTAAATACACCACTGAACTGACCATCATTGTTTTCAAAAATTACATTAGGCATTGTCTTTTTACAACACCATGATCCATTTCAACATCTTATTGTCTGAAACTTGACAATTTGTTCTTATCTATCCGTTACTCACGTAGGTGAACATGTTAGCATTTTGTTCCAACATCTCTTCAAGGGTGGTCACTTGTTTGGTTTCTGAAACCACCTTATAGATCAGAGCCCTGAGATCTTTATCTTTCAACTGCCTGCTCACGGTATGGTGCGTATGAAAGAATCATGCTTGGGAGTTCAAACCCTCTGAAATACTCCAAATGGAGCCATAGTTCTTTGCTGGGTAAAACTAGATCCTAAGCAGTACCTTGGGGTCAGGGGGAGCTCCGTTCA